AAAAAAAAAAAAAAAAAAAAGAGAGAGACAGAGAAAAAAATTCTTAAAACACAAAATCCCAGATACACGAAGTACAAAATCAGGGGGAAAACAACTTACTCATAACTGCGGAGGAGAGAATCGGAAAAGCTCGAAGATTGCAGGAAGAATTGCCGACAGAATCTAGGATCTTTTGCAGAGAGGGCTGTGAATGCAAAGGGAATTTGGGGAGAGTGAAAGCAAAAAAGTCCGAAATATTACTAAGTGTTGATTTTATACTCTGAGGAACCCAAGAGGTGGAAAGATGAAGACCGTTAGATTAAAGTTAGATTGCACAGCGGAAAGCATTAAATGGCACGACACTCTAAGTGGGCGCGTTATGCGAGGGGGCGTCATCATTAAAGTACCTGACACACGCGAACAGAAGCGACGCGTGGCAGAAAAACAGATGAGACAAGAAGGATATGGGACAGACTACTTTATGCCAGACAATTAATGGGAATTTAGTTGAAAAGATAAGTGGGAAACTCGCCAACCGGTCGATATCTGACGACGAGCCATCCCGGAGGTCGATAAATACCAATTCACTCTTAGATCGAGTTACCCAGACTCGACCAGAGTGGGGGGGACTAGATGATATGGAATATTATATACACAAAGCTAAACCGGTCTGTTGGGCCGGTCGAGAAGGTTAAACCGAGAGGGAGCCAAGCCAAAAGGCGGGAAGATCGAACATTTAGGGAAATGACCAGACTAACGATCGAGCAGTCCACCACATGACCAGACTAACGATCGAGCAGTCCACCACACGACCAGACTAACGATCGAGCAGTCCACCACACGACCAGACTAACAATCGAGCAGTCCGCTGCACGACCAGGCTAACGATCGAGCAGTCCACTGCACGACCAAACTAATGATCGAGCAACCCATCGCTCGACTAGATACATGATCGAGTAACCTATTCGACCTCAACAGTTTGATCGCTTCGAGGAACTAACAGTCGGCCTAGTCATGGGCGCGTGTATCACGGGCACGTGTATCACAGGCGCGCGTGAGAGCCTCCAACTAAGTCCCTGGAGAATATTTACCCCATGTGCAGGGGGGACACGTGTCGCCAATGTATTGGGTGATAGCGATAACCACCTCTGACAGCTCCCAACGCCTCGCGCCACCTCTGACATGTGCGCGGCGTGCCAGAGTACGGACGGGCAGCTTGGGCAGCCAGCTCATCCTTATCCGGGCAGCTCTTAGGGCAGGTATTTCACCCTTGTATAAAGGGGGTGAGCCTTTCTCCCTTAAGATATTCTATTTTCATTCACCCTTGTATAAAGGGGGTGAGCCTTTCTCCCTTAAGATATTCTATTTTCCATACTTCACTTCAATATACTCATACACATACTGACTTAAACATCGGAGGCTCTTCACCGGACACAACCCCCGGTGTGAGAGTTGTTTGCAGGTTTCCGGCGTTCTACCGGCGAGGACCAAGATCTATCCGTTCAAACCGGACCAGGACGCTTACACTTGCATTATAATAAATATGATAAAATAAAAAAAAAAATCCTCACAAATGAGAATTCCAAAATTGACGTCATGTAAATTTAAATATTTATAATTTTTTTTTTTTTTTGTGTATGTAACATATATGTTGTTGGCATAAGAATCTCCTCGTACGTCGAATGAACGACACGTGGATTATGGGAAAGATCGGGAGTCATGCCGAAGAGAGAAAAGAGAAAGCTCCCCGAGTTTTGGAAACCGACCTCTTCAAGAGGCCGACCTTCCCAGTAAAGGCAACTCAAACATGGGTTGACATCGGTACCGACAGGCAACATTAAATGTTTGTCCATCAGATGTCCAAGAGCCATGTGAGAACATCATTGCTGAAGGTCCCACCTGCCGAAAAAGCCTGCGCTCTGTCACACCGCATTAAATGCAGTCGTATCTCCTCAAAAGACGAGCCCACAGTTACTATAAATAGCAGCATTAAACACGATACGAGGATCTTTTTCGGCACATTGAATTCTACATTAATCACCTCGGCTCATCACTCACAACCGACCTATTGTACTATTAAAAACCCGACTTCAAGTTCGAAATACCGACTTGAACCTGTTCTCAAATATATCTTGTTTAACTAATAAAATCACTTCATTTTCGCATTATTCCCGAAGATTTATATTTAAAAGGTTGATCAAATCCATTTATCAACAGTTTGGCGCTAGAGGAAGGGCCTCATAAAACATCTTGAGGTCAATCTTTGAATCCATCATCCATCTTTAAAACCACTGACACGAAAACGTAAAGCAATGACGCAATCAGGACAAGATGATCAGACAACGAGGGGAGGGGACAGTCGTGGTCCAATCCCTTCTACCAGTAGAGCCAACACAACGATGATACCAGATCTTGCGACACTCATGCAGAACCCCGAGTTTGCAAAGGGTTTCTCGGCACTATTAGCTCAAACCATGCCGGAAACCTCGAGAACCGTGTCGGGACAGTCGCTTGCGCCTATCACCCCGGCCAGACCGGCGGCGTAGCAGTTGCAACAAGGCGCAAAACAACCAAACGCGCTCACACGCGACGTCTCAATCTAGGGAGGGGTCGGACGACTAGAAACGATAACCCCGAAATGGAATCCCTGAGAAGGAGAGTTGTCGAGCTCGAAACTTTGCAAAATCGAGGAACAAGGTCGCCCCTCAACCCGCACACTCAAGAGACGGGCCATGTGTACGTGGAAACGGATTCCCCACTGTCTCCTGAGTTGACTTTAGAGCCGCTACCCAGGAAAATCAAAGTCCCACAAATCAGCCTCTATGATGGAACGTCAGACCCCGACGCCCATCTCGGTCATTATATTTCATGGATGGACCTACATGGGGCCACCGACGCCCTCAGGTGTCGTATGTTTTCCCTAACACTTGGACCAAAAGCGCAGAATTTGTATTACTCGCTACCTGCGCAGTCCATCCGACGTTGGGTCCAGCTTAGGTTGGCCTTCCGCTCCCATTTTATCGGAGCACAAGTCTGTCTCATTCCAAAAGAGTCGATAACCAACATCGTCCAAAAAGACGACAAAAGCTTGAAGAAATATGTTGCACGCTTTAATGAACGCGTGCAGAATATGGAACCGTGCCACCCTGAAACTCTCCTAGTGAGCGCCATCTCGGGATTGAAGCTTAAATCGATGTTTAGGTGGGCACTTTGTCAAAACAAGCCCAGCAAGTTCCAGGAATTCTTGATCCGGGTGCAAAACCACGTGATAGCCGAAGAGAGCATGTCGGTCCCTGACCTTACATTCACCTCCCAAGGACAGAAATTGACGTCGGAGAAGAAGAAAAAGTCTTTTGGCAACTCATCCAAAAAGACCTCCTCTGCGGACCCGAGGTGGGGAGATCCGAATGATCTCGAGGTGCGGCAGCTCGGAAACAATACCGGGAGGATTTGAAGACGGGATACTGATCCATTCACTCGGTTGGAGCAACCGCCATCTATGAAGAAATAAAGGGAAAGGGAATCATTCCCGATGCCCGACTAGTAAAAACTCCAGAGAACCAACTCGACAAAGCCCGATACTGTGATTATCACCGGCCATCGAACCATAATACCGATGAGTGTATGAGTCTGCTGTCGGCTCTGATGAAACTTATGGGCAACCCACACATGATAAAATTAACTAAAGTCGGAGCTAACAAGGGGAAGCGAAGGACACAGGAAATCCCCGCTGATGATGAAGGAGATGAAGGGGGGTCAAATTTCAAAAGGCTTCGAGCGCATGGAGACAAAGAAATTTTTGTGCTCAGATCAACTGACATCGGCTCGCCCCAAGACCGACTCGGGAAGAGGGGCCGAGAAGCCGACACCCAGCCGCGATCCGACCTGACGCCGCCAACGTCGCGACGCTCAAGTCCCATTCCCCGAGTTAATACCAACCGAGACACGTCGACGTCTTCCAGGAGGCAAGCTAAGGCATACGCACGAAGGGCCTACAACTCGGGGAAGCAGGTGATGACCTCGGACCTCAGAGAGACGATCAATGCCCGTACTTGTCCCATCACCTTCACATTAGAAGATGCGAGTTTATTCGACCATCCGCATTCAGACGCGCTTATAATTACGGCCCCCATCTGCGGCATTCCCGTCCACCGGATCATGGTGGACATTGGGGCCTACACAAGCATTCTCATGCTCAAAGCATTCAATAAGCTCGCAATTAACCCTTCCGAGGTCTGCCCCTGCAACAATCGCGTCCATGGCTTCAACGGAAGCATAGCACTCCCATTGGGAGAGATCACTCTCTCTATCAGATTCGGGGGACACGGGCAAACATCCAAGGTCATCATAGAAACCTTCAAAGTGATGGATCTCGACAACGAATATAACGCGATAATCGGGAGGATGGCATTATACAAGCTCCAAGCTGTGGTTTTCATTTTTCATTATGCCATAAAATTCCCCACGGCGGATGGAGAAGGAACCCATTACGGGGAGCAAAGAGAGGCCAGGGAGTTGTTCTTAGAGATCCCTTCGCGGGAAATCCACATGGCAGAAAAAATCGATGTCGACATGGGCGAGAACCGAGACACTCAGAAGGACGGGCAACCACCCACCTCGGACGAAGAAGATAAAACCCGAGATCGAGGAAGACGACCAGGGAAGGAGCCTGCGAAGGAGGATGACATCCTCGATCCGCGAGACCAATTCAAAGAGAAAAAAGAAGGCAACCGAGCTGAACCCTCTAAGGAAGTTGAGATTATTAGCGTCGACTAGCTAACCTGTAACAAACAGCTCCGAATTGGAGCACGCTTACCTGAACCGCTCAGGATTGAACTGATACAATTTTTCTGAGCAAATGCCGACGTCTTCGCTTGGAAACATGAGGATATGAAGGGGATCGACCCAACCGTTGCGTGTCATCGGCTCAACATTGACAAGACAGTGAAGCCAGTCATTCAGAAGAGGAGAAAGCTCGGTCCAGACCGACAACAAGCCCTTGAGAAGGAAGTGAAAGAACTTGTCGACAACAAGTTCGTCAAGGAAACCAAATACCCGACTTAGGTGTCCAACCCCGTCTTGGTCAAAAAGGCCAGCGGCGCATGGCGACTGTGTATAGACTTCTCTGACCTTAACAAAGCTTGCCCAAAAGACAGCTACCCCCTGCCACACATTGACTACATGGTTGATGCAACCTCGGGCCATGAACTCATGAGCTTCATGGACGCGTACTCGGGCTACAACCAGATTCCTATGGACCCGGAGGAAGCGGAGCACACCTCTTTCTACTCGGCTCAGGGTTTGTATTGCTACACGATGATGCCCTTCAGATTGAAGAATGTCGGGGCCACATATCAACGGTTGGTTAATAAGATGTTTTCTAGACTGATAGGGTAGACTATGGAAGTCTATGTAGATGATATGCTAGTAAAGTCGGTAAACGCAAATGATAATGTAACCCATTTGAATGAAATGTTTAAGATATTGCGTGATTACTCGATGGTGTTGAATCCAAAAAAATGTACCTTTGGGGTGAAGTCGGGAAAATTCTTGGGCTATATGGTCAGCCAAAGGGGAATAGAGGCAAATTCGACAAAGATCCAATCAATACTCGACCTCAGACCCCCCACCTCGGTGAAAGGGGTACAGGGTCTGACTGGGAGGTTGGCGGCCTTGAATCGATTCATCTCGAAGTCGACTGACCGTTGAAAGCCATTCTTCGACGCCATCAAGAAAGGAAAGAAGTTCGAATGGACAGACAAATGTCAGAAAGCGCTCGACAATATCAAAGTGACGTTGACCCAATCTCCGGTCTTGCAAAAATTGAAGCCCGACGAGATGCTGTACTTATACCTTGGGGTAAGCAGCTCGGCAGTCAGCGCGGTTCTCATAAGAGAAGAAGAGACATGCCAACATCCAATCTACTACGTGAGTAAGGCATTGCATGACGCCGAGCTCAGATATCCGCCGATGGAGAAGTTGGCTTATGCACTCGTCATCGCGTCCAGGAAACTCCGTCCTTACTTCCAAGAGCACTCGGTCACCGTCCTAACGGCCCACCCTCTAAGGCAAGTCCTGCATAGGCCTGACACTTCGGGACGGATGATCAAGTGGGCCGTGGAGTTAGGACAGATTGACATACGTTACAAACCTCGCACAACCATTAAGGGACAGGTGTTATCAGATTTCATCGCCGAGTTCACCCCCACCATCCGGGAGGCTGTCGACAATCGACCATGGGTGATGTACGTCGACGGGTCATCCACAGTGAGCAGGGCTGGGGGAAGTGTGGTCTTAATTGATCCAGAGAAACGAGTATATTGCCATTCAATCCAATTTCTTTTTCCGGCCACCAACAATGAGGCTGAGTACGAGGCCTTGCTGTCCAGTCTAGGCTTTGCCGAGACCATGAACTTAACCCACCTGAACGTCTTCTCGGACTCCCAACTACTCGTCAACCAAATCCTCGGCAGTTACGAGGTAAAAAAACCTCGGTTAGTACCATACCTGGCATTGGTCAAACAACAGATGGCGAAGTTCACAGCTAAAATCGAGCACATCCTAGGGACGTCGAACGTGCAAGCGGACGCCCTTTCACACCTCGCTTCCAGCGCGAATATAGAGGACGTGGAGTATGTTCAGGTCGGAAGTCAAGAGAAACCATCCACGTCTGCATCTCAGGTTAACCAAGTCGGAACTGGCGAGGCCGACAAAATACCGACCTGGATGGATTGAATCATCGGTTACCTAGAGTCGGGGACACAACCCCAAAATCCCCGAGAAGCACGATCGTTACGGATACGTGCTGCCAGATACACCCTAGACCGAGGAGTACTCTACAAGCGAGGGTACTCGATCCCACTTCTAAAGTGCCTGACAGAACAAGAGTCGCTGTTCGTACTTCAAGAGATCCACGACGGCATCTGCAGAAGCCATTCCGGGGGCCAGGCCCTCACCTACAAAATCCTCCGAAGAGGGTACTATTGGCCAACGCTCAGGCGGGATGTCGCCAACTGGGTAAAGAGGTGCAACAAATGCCAGATATTCGCGCCAAACAGGAACCTAGTGCCAGAACCTCTCAAATCGATTGTGAGCTCTTGGCCATTCACCAAATGGGGAATCGACATGATAGGACCATTGCCGGTCGGAAAGGGAGGCGTGAAGTTTGCCTTCGTCGCAGTAGACTATTTCACCAAGTGGGCGGAAGCAGAACCGCTAGCAACCATCACCGAGCAAAAAATGATCGACTTCCTATGGAAGTCGGTAATATGCCGTTTCGGTGTGCCTAATTCAATAATCACCGACAACGGGAAACAGTTCGAAGGAAAAATATTGGAAGAATTTTGCGCATCTCACGGCGTCAAACACCATTTTTCGACTCCATATCACCCCCAAGTCAAATGGCCAAGTTGAAGCGGTGAATAAGCTGATTAAGAACGACCTTAAAATATGACTTGAAGCAGCGAAAAGGGCCTGGCCAGAGGAGTTGCCGGGTGTCCTGTGGGCATATCGTACGTCCCCGAGGTCGTCGACGGGAGAAACTCCGTTTTCCTTAGCATATGGATCGGAAGCGATGGTCCCCATGGAACTCGGTTCGCCGACCTACCGAGTAGAAAATTTCACAGAAGATCAAAACGACGTTAACTTACGTATGAACCTCGACTTGGTTGAAGAGTTACGAACGCAAGCCGAGCTCCGGAACACGACCTACAAACAGAGGAGCGAGAGATATGTCAACTCTAAGCTCAAACCCAAAACTTACCGAGTTGGCGACTTGGTCCTAAAAAGAGTGACAGGACCCAATCTCGGTCCCTTAAAGCCGAAGTGGGAAGGACCCTTCAAAATAAGTCAAGTACTGCCCCATGGGGCCTACCGGCTAGAGGATCTGGACGACACGCCCCAACGCTATCCATGGAATGCAGTCTACCTCAAAAAGTACTACCAATGACACCCGTCCGGTCATCGCGCCACTAGTCGGTCTCCGCGCCGATGTTCCAGAAAAACCGACCTTCGCGCCACTAGTCAGTCTTTGCGCCGACGTTCTGTAAAAAACAGCCTTTGTGCCACTAGTCGGTCTCCGAGCCGACATTCTGCAAAAATTGGCCCTCACTCCACTAGTCGGTCTCCACGCTGACGTTCTGCAAAAACCAGCCCTCGCGCCACTAGTCGGTCTCCGCGCCGACGTTCTGCAAAAACCAGCCTTTACGCCACTAGTCAGCCTCCGTGCCGACGTTCCACAAAAACTGGCCCTCGCGCCACTAGTCGGTCTCCGCGCCGACGTTCTGCAAAAATCGGCCTTCGCGCTACTAGTCGGTCTCTGTGCCGACGTTTTGCAAAAACCGGCCCTCGCGCCACTAGTCGGTCTCCGTGACGACGTTCTGCAAAAACCGGCCGTTGCGCCACGAGTTGGACTTGCTAAAGGAGCTCCCCCGGGCAAAACTGCGAATTCCAAAAGGCTCAAGTAGCAGAAAATTTAGCATGTAAGGCAAACAAACCCTCGCATAGTCTTTTCAACAAGTTTTTTATAAGTTTTTGTACCCAAGAAAGTCTCTGTACAATGAAAATCTCCACGAGTTTTTGTGCTCAGGTCTTTTGTATTCAAATTTTTTGTACTCAAGAAAAATTTTTTGTACTCAAGAAAAGTTTTTTGCACTCAAGAAAGCCTTTCCAATGAGTTTTTTTTTTCTCTCACGAGATGTTATGTTATCAAAATATTACCCCTCTTTTGCAATTAGAAACATAGTATTTAATAGCTAATGCAAAACAAGGTAAAGAGGTCGGGATCCACTCATATATTATAACCGATCTCCAATGTAAAGAATTAAGAGAACAATTTAAAGATACCTTGTCAACAAAGAAAAAAAAGAAAAAGAAAGGGAAAAGATTGAAAGTAGAAACTTGAAAAGCATACTTCATTAACTGCTAGCCCGGAGAAGAATCCATACAATGTCATCAAAAAAGGAAAAGTACGAGGACGTGTCAACTCAATGATCCCCGTCCGGAAAACCACTAAATTCAAACTAAAACGAGTGTGCCAATAGAATGGTCCACGCGAAGCAAAAGAAAACACACGAAAGCAACAATAGAAAAGAACAAAGCTATTCAGTGGGCTTCCCGACGTCCTGTTCGGGCTCCTCGGGGCCAGCCTTGGCCTTCTCGGCGTCTTCCACCCCCTCTCCCAGATCACCATCTATCTCTACCGCGGCTTCGTCGTCCAGGTCAGCTGATGTATCCCGAACCTTTTTGCTCAGCTTGGCAAAGATTGCCGCATCCAGAGCCTGGGGGTCAACCCGGATCTTAACAGTCCCGGGGTCGGCCGCCTCGGCCACGGTCACTAGTTCGGTCGTCGGGACGGATGCTTCGGGGTTGACCTCAAGAGCAGCAGTAGTCACCTTGTCGGCATACTCCACCACCTCCATCTTAATCTCGGCCGGTGTCAAAGTATCAAAGTGCTCGATGGTGATGTCGGCCAGAGTGTTGATGAACTGAAGGCCAAGTTCCTTTCTTTTCTCCTTCTCAGCCTCGAGAACCATTTCCATGAAGGCTTTTCAGAGAGCAACACGCCTATCTCGGCTCAAAGGGGGAAGCACAGAAGCCGTTACGTTGGGCTCAGACTCGTTCAAGACGCCCTCGACGTAATCTCTCTCATCATCGTCGGCCGGGATATGCATCTCGGAGATTGAAGTGTTGAAGCCCAACCTAATTATCTTGTTGTGCAAAATGAGCTTGAGATCGCCAACACTGTAAAGACT